CACCAAACCCCGCAGAATTCGAGGTTATGAGAACAGGTTGACATTTCGAAATAGGTTCCGTCATTCAACGATTCCTGTTGAATTTACCGTTTATCGTTGTCTATCTTATTGTCACTCTCTATTTATAAATGGTTACCGGAATTTTAAATAATTACGAAGCAACAGGTTTGCGCAATGTCAATTAGGCATATTACCTTGAAAAACATTGCTGCCGAATTTCTGATATAGTTTTTGCAAATTTCTCAGTTTTTAATAACAGTTAATTTCTTTTACTAGTTTTTCTGTGCTCTTATAACACCGCCAGACAACACCCCCAGAGGAATGCCGCCAATTTTGAGTCACCCTGTATATTGATTAACCTCGTTTGTTATTGCATAATAAAGGGAGTACACAGATGCTGAACCGTATTGAATCCTTCAGATAATTAAACTTTTCGCCTCCTTCATCAATCATTGACTATCGAGGGCACACGCATTAGTTTGGGGTGGTAAAATTGTATGTTTATTTGGTATCAGTGTTATTTATAATTAAATTAACACGTGTGAAGACGTTCAGTTATGAGCAAATCAAGCAATGACGGTAAAGTTTTCAGTAGTATAGCTTGTCGGCTGCTACATACGTAAATAAAGAGGCAACTACCAACATTCAATAAAAAAATTAGTACCCAAAAGTGACAAACATAAAAGTTTCGGATAGTAAAGTGACAGTATCTATGTTTCTGGAGGAGTTGCGTCACATTAACAGGTTATAGTAATAAAAATAATCAAGGTCAAGTAGATTTGAAACCTTTAACATACACAAGACTTTTTGCATAAGATATATTGTTTTGGGGCAAAAAACGTTTTATTCTTAACATCTCTCCTGACTTAACAGTCTCCTTGAGTTTGATACACTTAGTACAGGAACTTTAAAATTTTTGCATTACTTTCAAATAATAGAGTTTATCAAGGTCCTCATAATAGGCGTTTGTTACAATGATGTTACTCTTCTTTGGATCTAAATCTCTTAACTCCCCAGCCACTCCTTCAGGTTTGGAAACATTAAATAAGCAGGGGGCTAAATCTGGAGAATATACTGGGGAGGGTAGCATCAGGGTAGCATTTCGTAGCCTAATTCATGGATTTTTGCAATCACGACTACACACGGGTGCATCCGTAGTTTGTCCTGATTAAACAGCAGATTTTTCGCCAAATGCGGTCTTTTTAGCTTCAACTCTACATCGAATCTGTCCCTAAAGCTATGAGTAACGTGCGCTAGTGATCGTGTTAGACTTTTCATGGTAATTGATGTGAGTGACACCGCGTGCACCCCAAAAATCTGTCGCTATCACCTTGTTAGCCGGCAGACCCATTTTGGCCTTCTTTAGTAGGTACATGATTTATTTTTTTAACCAATTTTAATTTAAAAATGTTGGAATAATAAATAGCTTA